AATCCTAAAATCAATCCTATCAATTCTAACAAGCTTAAAATAATATTAAAAAATGAATTTCTAAAACTCCTCAGCTCAATAAAATGTTTCGAACGACCCTCCAGACTCACGTGCCACCCAAAATGAGGTACGAAAAATAAATAAAAGAAAATGCCAAAAAATCCAGGACTTTACACAGTCAATGATAAATTTTGTTGATGTCATGTATTGAATAAATTAAAATTCCCATATTATCCTTCATTGCAGTCAAAGACATTTTGAACCTGAAAAAGCAACAAGAGTTACCAAAATACCTCATCCCTACCAAATAGTAAAAGATTACCTTATCTATGTATGTAACAATGATGAGTAACAAAAAATCATTGAATTTTAAAAATATTGGCTGTTACCAGAAAGACTTAACGAATCAGATCATGCAATTAAATAACCAAGAATCATGGAGTTACAAATGGAGTATATAATAAGATAAAACATGAAGAAAATACAACGAAACAAGTTTTTGAACTCATCAGATAAAGAATTATGATCATCTTATCCAAATCCAAACATGATGAAATGAACTCAAAACATGAATTTGTACATATAATTTCAGAAGAGAAAAAGGGGAAAAAATTAAAAAGAAAGAAAGAAAATCAATTAAAAACTCCATGAATTGTTATTTTTCAAGTATAAAAAAACATAAACCCCACTAAGGCTGACCTCTTTCTTGAAAATCAATTTGATGAACATCTGAAAGGTAATAAGTTGAATAGGGGTAAATAAAGATGAATGACCTGGGCTGACTTTAAATCTTCACTAAAGGGGCCATCACTGAGCTTTTGCCTTGTGATTTCATCGTCGGTGATATTATTAAGCTTGTAGATCAAGTTATGGGGTTGTAGTATCCCCTTCCCCTAAGCCACATGCCTTTGAACACATATAAAAAGAAAAGAAAAGAAAAGAAAATATCAATAACAAGCCTAAAAGACCTTGCTTGCCGGCGTCGTTCATCGCCGACATCGGAATTGCTATCCTCCGAAAGCAAGATCAAACCCAGAACCTCATGTTTAAATGAAAGATTTAATCCAACCCAAGACTTGATGTAGTCTCAATTTAGGCTCAGTTTGGTAGAGTGGGTTTGAAGGGAAAGGGAAGGGAAGGTGATGGAGGGTAATAAAAAAATTGTGTTTGGGTAAAGTGAGTGGAGGGAAAGGGAAGGAGAGGGAAGGGTTTGGAGGGTTATTTATAACAATGTACAGTAATTTGTTTAACCTTCCAAAAATGGGAGGATAAGGAAAGAAAGGGAAGCCAATGGCAGGCAATGGCTCATATAATATTTGTCATGCCAATTTTACCCTCAAAATTGCACTTGATATTAGGGCAAGTATTCAGCGCGGGAACAAAGGAAGGCATGTATTCAGCGCAGGAACAAAGGCGCCAAAATTCACTGTTATAAGAAGAAATAGGAGAGAAAAAAGGGGGAAGTGGGTTCACGTATGGGAGAGAGAGAAGGGGAAGTGGGTTCACATTGTGGTCTCGGTTCCAGAGGAGGAAGTATATAGGAGAGAGAGAAGGGAAAGGTTTGTAACGGTTAAATTCATTAAAAAATCTAGGGTTTACAAATAGCACCTTTGGAGCTACACAAGCCTTTCGAAAATTCATCTGATTTCATCATCTTCTTGGAGTATTCGATCTTCAGGTGTGTTTCTTCAATCGATCTAAGTTTTCCTCTTTTATTATTATTATTTTTTTCCTTAAAGATTTGTCAGTATACAGTTGGAGATTTAATGTTATATTCTATGGAAAAAATTCGTGCGATTATCTTTAATTATGTCGATGGTTTTCTTGTGAACTCTGTAATTTTGTGGATTTCTCTCTTTTTATTTTTTTTGTTATAGTTAATGTGAATTTAGAAAGGAAAAAAAAAACACACACTTGATCTTCATTCCAGTAGCTAAAATTGGTTTCCAGAACAATTTTTCTTGAAAGGAGCCGCCTCCCATTTTTGGGAGCCTACTCTACTCATATTTGAGCCTCCTCTACTTAAAGTAGAGCCTGCTCCATTCATATTGGAGCCTCCTCCACTTATATTGGAGCCTCCTCCACTTTTACTTGAGCCGGCTCCTTTTATAAGATTTGAATTACTTGAGCCAGCTCCTCTTGGGGCAAAAATGTTGTTGCATATTTAAATCTCAAAATTTATCTTTTAAAATATAAAAAGGGCATAATAGTAAATTTATTATTATCCTTCCCTTTCCTTTCTTTTCCCAAACATGATTGTTATCCTTCTTTTTCTTTTCCTTCATTAATCAACCAAACACGATTGAGGATTAAACTTATCATTCCCTTCCATTTCTCTCATAACTAATGTTATCCTCCCCCTTCAAACCCACCCCTACCAAACATAGCCTTAGTCACCAGCAAACAATCTGGAGGTGTGGTGGTGGTTAGCCAGAGGGGGGGTGATTGTTGGTTGACCGTGGTGGGGTGGTGGTCAAGGATGGACCTAATAGTACTAATTTTTTTTTATATATATATTTTTATTATACTAATAGTATTAATTTTCCTTTTTTTGAATAACATATTTTCATATTGCCCCCCCTCCCCCCTGAAATAACAAACCCCCCCCCCCCCCCCCCCCCCCCCAACCCTAATTTCTTAGGTTCATCACTGGTACTGGTGGTGGTCGAGGAAAAGGTAGGTGGGTAGGGTGGGTGGTGGATTGTTTTGTGTGTGTGTATAGAAGAAATCAATTTTTTAAATTACATTAATACCCATAATTTAAATGACTTGGCAAATTTTATAAGGGTTGTCCAACATAAATTGGAAAAGAGCTTTTCTTCCCCATTAAAGAAGGGATATTAGTTTTCCCCACATATATATATATAAGCATATGTGGAGTTCAGTCATTTTTTATAGCAACTTAAGGGAATTTTTGTAAAATAGATAGGTCTGTTACTTCATTTGACGGTCCACCACTAGGAGGGGAGGTCTGTGTAAGAATGTTTCATTTTTAGTAGAGGTCTGAGTAATTTTCCAAACTATGAGAGAGGTCTCTGTAATTATGACAAATTATAGGGGAGGTCTGTACAATTTATTCAAAAAAAACCTTCTTAAATAACCTTTTTAACTAGTCATTTTATTTTTCAAACTTGGCTTAGTAAGTCTCGAAAGGGTCGGAATCTGCTCTCGTGTGGAGGGCATTTTATACATATCCTCTTGTTGGGGCTCCGCGCAGCCTGCATTAAACTGTGAACTGTGCACCAAGGTGATGTAATTTCGGTGCATAGAATTCCTCCGCAAACAGAGGTGATCGAATCTATTGAGAAAACAATCACATATTCATTATGATCTTCTTTTGTTAGCAGAATACCTAACAGATTGGTGACAAAAACTATTAATGTAACATAGAATTAACTAATAGTCCCTAACATATTGGTGTTATATATATATATTGCAGAATCCAAAAATCAATTTGATTATGTACTTACTTTTAAGTGATCATAAAAGATCCTCAAATAAAATAGGCTCAAGTTGTCTTTCCTTTATGTGTGTGGGTGTTGTGTGTAATATTTGAAATTAACCCAAGCTCCACTCTTCGACTTGTCTTTGTCACTGTGTTTATCCATAGAATTCCAGTAAGGGTCATGCCATATTCCTTTTGCATCCAATTTTATATACCCGCCTTCATAGCATTTTAAATATTGATATAAAATGGAATCGAAAGGCTACACGCTTTTTACATTAACTTTTTGGATACATGAATACCCTTTACAAAGATGTCCAAACATGCCCTTTGGATGTAATGCATGGACCTTCTTCTTCACTCATTCCTAATTTTTATATACTCTTTAGAGTTGCAATATAAGAGAGGTGTGTAGTGGGAAATCATCAGAACCCTAAAAGCATATCAAACAAAATAGATAGATATACAATATTTGAGTGCACTCTATTATATAAATAATATACCAAAAAAGCATCTCTAGTTGCAAGTTTTTGCCCAACTGCAAATGGCTCATTTTTTTTTTCCATTTGTCAATCAAATTGCAGTGGCTCTCAAGGACATATGGATAGGCAACTAAATAAAAAGGCAAAAACCAGCCTATTATAATCTTAGTGAGATGACACCATCTTAGTTCTCATACAATAGATTACATTTGGTAGAACATTTCACTTTCAAACTAATCAGATACTCCAAGAATGAAAGTTTGTTTTATACTATTTAGGAGAGAGACAGAGAGAGAAGAGTTTGGCATGAGAAGTGAGAGAATATAAAATTGTTTTTGCAAATGAATTACTTCTTGTGACCAAAGAGTGAAAAATGGTCAATTTTTGCTACTAAGATGGTGGGTTACACACTCTGAAATAGGCATATACATATGTTTGCTTGTCTGTGAGCACATGCATATCCATGATAGGTTTGCCTTAATTTGCAATCAAGTCACACAAACTTTGTCTCTGTTTCTACAAAACAAGCCAAACAAGCCAACCCTTTTGCAAATTTCATCTCATACAAGAGTTCAGATCCAATTTAATGTCTATACCTTTTTGTCAAGCTCAGATGAATGCTAACTTTAGAAAAATGTCATTGCCAATAAAAAAAACAATAAAAAACTAAAGAAAAAAGAGATGTCTGAAAATTTAGGTACTTGATGTTAACTATATGGATAATAAACCTCATATTCCAAATCTAAGTGATCTTTTGAGTCACCAAACTATTATAAAAAATGACATAAAAAATTCTATTTGATTTAATAAGCGTTTACAATTGACCTATAATTCCTCATCAATCGTAAGGTGTATGTTATTGGAGTTAAATATATATGATTTTCATATTTGTTGTACTCCTAGAGCAAACTCTTTGCAAGATTGACTTTAACACCATATTTCATTTGCTTTGCTTTTCCTTCTAAAACAAAATATTCCATTTCCAAATAATTACACACCCCACACCATACACTTTTTTCTCCCATTATCTAAAACACAAATCCTCCATAAATACACATTACATACATGCCAGATACATATTTCAAGTGCTACTACTGTGGATGCTAATTCCTTAAGCTCCTTACACTGTTGCTCAATCTGGCCCACTAATCTAGCTTTCTCCTATAAAACCACACCATTCCTAATGCTGCCCTAGCTCTCCTAAGTCCTAACATCTACATAATCCCCTGCAAATCAAACCTCCTTCAAGTTTTAGCTCATTTTTTTTAGCCATGCTTACATCCGAGGTTCCGGGAATCCAATACCTAGTTCCTGAAATCATGACCGCGTTTCCTAACAACACCGGTGTGATGCAAAACAATATGAATATTTCATTCCTAACCACCTTGCCAAATTCTCAAAACTCGCCTCCTGTCTACAAGTTCAGTCCCGGATATGCGTGCTTGAGCAACAACTCGACTTCTGATGAAGCAGAGGAGCATCAAGTAAGCATCATCGACGAAAGGAAGCAGAGGAGAATGATTTCCAACAGAGAATCTGCGCGTAGGTCGCGGATGAGGAAGCAGAAGCACCTGGACGAGCTGTGGTCGCAGGTGGTTCGGCTTAAGACAGAGAATCACCACCTTATAGACCAGTTGAACCATGTGTCCGAGTGCCATGACAGGGTCGTCCAAGAGAATGCAAGGCTTAAGGAAGAGGCTTCAGAGCTCCGCGAAATGCTCACTGACCTCCAAATCGGAAGTCCTTACTCGGGTCTGAGAGAGCTGGACGAAGTTACCTGCAACACAGCTTATCTCAAGGCTGAGTCTTCAAACCAATCCATTAGTACTAGTTCTGAAAAACTACTTCATTGAGAAGGAGCTGTTCTGTTTTTTGCTTTCAATTTACTTGTCTATGTTAACCAGTAGTATTTGCCTTCACTTGTGCCGTATGAGATCAGAAACAAAGCGTGAAGTGCGCAATAACATCTTAATTTCAACCATATCATGATTCCAATACAGCGAATTATATATTCACACACAATCATGACTAAATATATATATACACACGCACTTGTTTCAAACTCTTCTCGCCGCATAATTATCCATAGAAATCCAGAGAAAAATGTGTCCATTAAAAAAGAAATCAAAGACTCATCATGAGTACTTTCTTTCAATAAATATTTTGACAAAGTGGCCACCTTAGAAGTGGATAGATGAGGAACAATGATAATGAAATCAGGTAAAGAGGTTAATGTTATATGCTTAATTCAATGCTAAATTAAGAAGGAAGTGAAATTAATATATGTGAAATGTACTTGGAACAAATTAAGGGGAAGATCAAGTAATATTTGGAGATAATAGCTAGCTCTGTTGATCCTGAATGGGAAGAGACTCCATTAATTAGCTGATCTGAAGAAAGCTAGCTAGCTAGGACCCACAAACAATTGGTCCTGTATTGCCACAAAGCAGAGGAAATGGGACAAATAGTGGTGGGGTGTGCTGGTGGTAGTGGCTAATGATACAAAGAGCTACCATAAGAAGCAAAACATTTGGAAAGGCAACCCACTATACAAAATACTTCTAGTGGCTCACGTCCATGCTTCAGGTGCTGCCTGCTTCGTACGTCTTCCTTTCTACATTGCCATATCTTACTGCACTACCATCTCTCTCTCTCTCTCTCTCTCTCACACACACACTCACACTTAGATAATTGTAGAGATCTTGTTCGAAATTTCAAGCAAACGAGCACACAGGCACAATATTGCCCAAGCTCCAACACTCCATATATCCTTTAAAAAGAAGGAGAGATCATATCATATGGATGAATGTCACAAAAAAAAAAATAATAATAATAAATACTTTCAAGTTCCACAATTGTTACAGGAGTTCCTGTTTTTCCTGTCCACTCTAAATTTTACACGTTAATGCCAATTAAATGGATCTGAAGGTCAAATCCCCCTCTCTCATGCTGTTAAACAAGATTTATGTCATGATATGCTAGATGCCAATACTGTCTCACAAAAGTTTGCTTTTGTCACATAGATCACATGCTAAATATAAATGTAGCCAAAAGGTCAATGTTGATATTAGTGTTCAAAGAGGGGCAGGTATCTCATTATTTGGAAGATGATGGCACCCTCATTGATTTGTCTGTTAACCACTCCTGTCTTGACATACCTAAAAAGCTGAAAATTGTGACAATGGTGGTACACTGGTACGGTCCCGGTACAGGCATGGCATGCTAGTCCCCTGTAGTTTCTGCAATTGGATGAACTTAATATTCGCATATTAGGAGATGAATGTGACCTAAATAACAAACTTTTTCTTTTTTTCTTTTTTTGGAAAAAGGTCTCAGCCTTTATAGAAAATCATTTCATATATAATTAGATGATTATCATAAAAAAGGTCATTCATTTACACACAGCCAAATACTTGTCCAAAAGCAATTCCATATCCAGTTTATTATATATAAAGCAGCCTATTTCATCATTGAGAAATCATATTCTTGCCCCTTAAGAAGGAATTTCCACATTGAGGCCGTGACCCAACAAAATTCAGAAAAACTGAAAAATGTACAAAAATAATTGTGCTTGGTTTTGTTTTTTAAAATTCAGTTATAGAAATATCTCTTTTTAGAGAATAATAAAAGATTGTTATCTAAGAATAATTTTTCTGTAAAATGAGTTTTTCATAATTATAAACCAACCAGGCCCATATTTTCTAGAAAGTATGACACTTCACCTAGGGGTCTCGGAAGGCATTGGACACTTGTACATCAAACATGCGGATATGGGTCACACATGGGTAGAAGTCACTAAAATTTAAATATTTTATTTTTTTCACGAATAGGGATACAGCAGACACAAACATGTTTTGAATACTTTCACGGCACAGGCATATGATTTTGTAATTATTTTTTTTTAAAAAAATGAGATTCAATGTAATTTAAAATATATTATGAGTTAATTATAAAAATAATATAAATTTAATAAAACAAAAAAAAAAAAAAAAAAAAAAAACTGTAGCTCTATGCTCCAAATTGGTCATTTCATTCGTGATTGTATGGATGAAATGAGTAAAAATTATTATTTTATATATAATAATATGTTTATTTGACTTACCAATGACATATCCTTGTCCACATCCTCCCTTTTTTTTTTTTTTTTTTTTTTTTTTTTTTTTTTTTTTTTGAGATTTATCATATTACAGTACCTAAGTCTCATATCGGTATCCATATTTTTAGGGTGTCTCAAATATAAAAAGATAATACTTGCCTAGTCACCGATAAATAAGTAATTTATGCTTACCACTAATGAGGCGCAAATAAGATGTCAAGTGTCCAATAATAAAAAGTAAAAGATTTGAAAGGCTATATAGGTTAATCAACTCTTAATATGATTTTCTCACCCTCTCTCTTTCTAACACTACTCTATAGTCGAAACCCTAATCTTTGGTGTGCAAAAGCTAACATGCTCATGCAAGACTATCCAGTTGAAATGCTTTTGCAACTCACTCGTCAAAACAATACTAGACCTTTTGAGAGTGCACAAACACAACCTTTCTTATGATTTCAAATATTACACTAACCTTTCCTAAGGTTTAGTTTTGCTGTAATGAAGCTGAAAATTGATAAAATGAGAATGAAAATGTAAATGTCATTTTCATTCTATTATTTGATTACAAATATAAAATGAGTTGAAATAAAATGATAATAATTATTCTAAATAGTGGCGGTAGAAGGTGACGGCAATGGAAGTGATGGAAGGCAGTAGGAATTAGCAGTGCAATGGTGTAAGGCAGTGGTAGTGGTGGTGGCAACGATAGAATATGATGGTAGCGGCAATGGTGGAAGGCGGTGGCAACAACTATAATGACAGTGGCGTGGTGGAAGGCACTAGTTGTGGTGGTGATGGTCTTGGAAGACGGTAGAGGTGGTGTTGGTTAATAATTTCCTTCCATCAATTTAGTTGTGGAATAGATTTTTATTCCTTTTATATGTCATACAAAGTAAGAAAATTGTCAAATTCTTACGTATCAAACTAGGCATAATGACACAACGTTAAATTCATGCTAAAAAAAAAAAAAAACACACACACAGCATTAAATGTACTACCGAAATTAATTATTTTACTTAAATATCCTTAACAAATGATGCAAAATGATTTTATTGCCTATTCCTGTCATGTCCTTTCAGAAGCTCGGGATTGAAAATTACGTCTCTGGTTTATGCAACAAGCAATATATTAGTGTTCCTACAACAATTCAAGTGAAACTTTAGCATTTTTGGATTTCACATACTTGAATCAATTCAAGAATTTTTGGATCATATATATATATATATGTATGGGAATATTTAAGATACAATATATAAAAATTAAAAATAAAAATTGAGTTTAAGTTGGGCCTAATTGATGACACCTAAATTCAAACTTAACTCTAATTAAATTTGAGTTGTGATTTTTTTCAACTTTAATTATAAAAATAATTATTGGTGCAAAATCAATTTGGACTTGAGTTGGGTTCTAGATTGGATTGGGGTCGGTTTATGTGGCTAATGAACCGATATCAAAGAATAAAAATGCTAATTGGGCTTGAGTTGGGTTCTAGATTGGATTGGGGTCGGTTTATGTGGCTAATGAACCGGTATCAAAGAATAAAAATGCTAATTATCACATAATCCGAAATAATATCAACAAAAAATTATTCGACGATCATTTGTTGATCCAAACGGGACCAAACCATTCTGTGCTAGCCAACTATTTCCCTTCGCGCAGTCCAAATTAGCAGCGCCGAAACTGGAGAGAGAGGGAGAGACTGTAGAGTCATGGCAGAGTGAAGCCCATGTCTCTGCTTCCTCCACATTCCATCCACCGGCCCTGATTCTCTCTCAACAGATTTGTTCGAGCATTCAAGAAATTAAAGTCTCGAATGGGTTTACTATCCGTTGATTGGGAATACGAATCATTTCCGGAGTATGAAGATCTCGTATTTCTTCCTCTCTTTGCTCTGTTCTTTCCAATGGTTCGATTTTTTCTCGACAGATATCTATTTGAGGTAATGTGTTTCTTGTCCATTTGATTGAAGTTGGTTTTTGATTTTTGTTCGCGTTTTATAATAATATGATCGGTAACATTCGTATCCATTTGTGTACGTGACTATTTTTCTGTTGTAGTTGGGAATATTTCGAATATATATGGTCCACCCATGTAGAGTTTTCACTTGTACTTGATGGATGTTGTGCAGCATTGCTTTTACATGAATATATGTTAATTTTGCTTTTTAATAATATTTGATTGATAGTTCGTGAACCCATATTGATTTTCGGGTTCATCTATGTTTCATCTCTTTTGTTAGTTCTAGTTCATGTACTTGTTAATGTATCTAGAAAAAGTCAAACCCAGTGCACAGTGCACGAGGCCCCATGCGGGTCTGGGAGGGAGGTAAGAGGTTGATTTCTTGTTTTGAACCGGTAACCACCAAGTCATAATGGAGCAACCTTACTAGTGCGTCAAAGCACACTCTTTATCTTGTAAATGTATCTCTGTGACAAAATTACAATGGTTGTAGTTTGAACTTGTTTCAAAAACAATACCATTGATTAAAAATTGCATCTTCACCTTGTAAGATGTTGGCAAGGAGTAACTTACCAAAAAAAAAAAAACAGATGTTGGCAAGGAGTAAGTTTTCCGAGAGGGAATTCCTTTTTGCCGCTGTGCTTTTTCAAACAAGAAAAGTAGCGAAAACAGCAGGATGTTGGTTTCTAATTATAATGATGAGAAGATGGTCAATAACTTCCTTCTCTATCTTTTGGATGCCATTTCTTAGAAGCAAGGCTAAATTTTCCAGTCTCATTCAGTGTCTGTAAATGAAATTCTTTAATATAATAATAAGGATGGCAGTAGTACAGTTTTGGTGATGCATCCTACCTCCTAACTGTCTCATTCTTCGTAATTTGTATTTAAGAAAACGACCTTAGTTTCTTTCTTTCTCTATAGGTGGTGGTATAATTTTGTATTTCCATTTTTTCCCTAATAACAACAACCTCACCAGGTAGGAATGTACTTAATGGATATATCCTTTGGAAACTATAATTTGAAATAACCTTTTGTATCAACAGCATGGTTTTGGTTTCATGTAGACATTTAAAGTGGAGATGTGTGCTATTATACTGAAATTTAGGAGGTGTCATCTTCACGAAATGGTTTCAGTTAGATTGATGTTTCAGTGAAGGGTGTTCCATGTTGGCGATTCGCTGGGTGTGCCTTTGTGTTATTTTCTACCTTTCTTTGCACTACATTACACTCTTGTAATTTTATTTACCTCAATCTATAGGTGAATCTTTTGTTTCTTGTATGAGATCTTTGTTGGTTGTCGAATGCCTGTTCAATAGATATGATAATTGAAAAAGTAGCATGTAGCCATGATGTATTATTCTTTGAGGTCTAGGCTTCATTTCCTTTGTGTTCCAAATGCATCTTGATTTGAACTAGACATAGCAAAGTTTATTAAGTAATTTTTCTATAATGATTAGGGAGACATTATAAACTCCCTCTAAAAGCTAATCTTCAACCCGGAAAAACCATTAAATATGTTTTTAATCCAAAAGCAGTGTAAAGTGAATTTTCATCTAAAATACATATTCCTACCGCAAATGAGTATCAGTTTGTAATGTTTTCTTTTGTGGTTTTAAGAATATTCAAATAGGGAAAGCATCAATCCATGTAACATGGTATGGGATTTAGGACTTGGACCCACCATCTGAAAGAACAAAAGTGAACAAGAAAACGAAAATAAAGAGATAAATTTTTATGGCTATTATGTTTTGTTTAACTTATTTAGCTGGTTGAAAGCTATCAAGATTTCATATAAGAAAAGCTTTGAACAATATTCTGGATAAGACTATGCACTTGGATTGTTTTACCTATTTGTACTTTGGTTTTTAATTACACTTGGGCTTTTGAATTGAATTTAGTAGATAATCAACTCCAATTCTTGAAATAAGCATGTTGAATGAAATGCTAGGTATCTAACTTTGTAATTATATGTTATATGCTCTCTTACTGGACCAGAATCTGTAGTTGCACTAAATAGAAAGTGGATGTTGATATTTATTCAATTTTTTGCAGTTTGCACGACTTTTTTTGGTTCAGAAGGTGTTCCTTTGGTTTATACATTCATAGCTCTTTTAACTAATTGTACAAAAAGCCAACTATTGTGTGACTTGGATATCATTTGGTGAAAATTGTGGCAAATATGTAAGATGATGAGTTTTGCGGTGTTGAATTTTTTGAATGTCTTCATAGTTGACCATATAGTTTTTAATTAGGTAAAGTTTGAATTTTACTTTTTTACCAGGTTCCACTTGATTTTGGGGCATATATGTCCAATTTGGTTACCATATTAATTAGGAACATTTATGTATCTTGTGCTTGCCTTGGAGGTTATCAATGATGTATTAATTAGTTCCTTTGAATCAGAGGGATTAAAATTTCTTTGTTTGATTATAGAGAACAAAAAGATTTTTTTGTTGGACTATACATTCTTCTTCCCACTTCTCTTACTTCTGGAATAAACAATTGCTCAACAGCGTGTTGTATCAATGCTCTGGTACTCCTTTAGTGCCTACTATTTCATGTTTCCTTCAGATGTTTTGCTGATTGTGAAATGTGAATCAGCCCATGTTTATGCAGTAGGCATCACATTGCATGTCTCTCAGATTTCCTGTCTGGATCTTTAGCTCAGTTCAAAATTAATGTACATGTTGCAGAAATTGGGAAGACAGCTCATATTTGGAAAAGGACAGCAGAAGCAGGATGTTATGGATGATGAGAGGAGAAAGAAGATAAAAAAATTCAAGGAATCAGCATGGAAATGTGTTTATTTTCTTTCGGCGGAGCTTCTAGCACTTTCTGTGACTTGCAATGAGCCCTGGTTCACTAACACAAGATATTTTTGGGTGGGGCCTGGAAACCAGGCCTGGCCTAATCAGAAAATTAAGTAAGATTTCCTAACAATATAAACTGATGAATGTTTATTATGCAACAACATTAACCATACTCTGTCCTTGCTTTGATCTATGCTTTGATTGAAAAGTTTTGGCATCTAAGCCACAAGTTAGTTGGGTAATTATCTTATGGATATTCAGGTTAAAATTGAAAGGACTTTATATGTATGCTGCTGGATTCTACACATACTCCATATTTGCTCTTATCTTTTGGGAGACAAGGCGTTCTGATTTTGGAGTGTCAATGGGGCATCATATCGCAACTGTCATTCTCATTGGGCTGTCTTACATATTCAGGTATGTTTTGATGGTGTTCATCTTGTAGCTCTTTCATGCTACACTCATAATCACAATTCACAGCAAAGCAGGTTGAATGCAATGAACTGTAGAAAGCTCTTTCATGCTCCACTCTATAATCACGATTCACAGCAAAGCAGGTTGAATACAATGAGATGCAGAAAAGTACAAGGAACAGCCTTACATGAAGTCATTAACGTGTTATTTATTTCTATGGATGGAAAAGCTTATGTGGAAGATTCTATTAAAATTTCGCTCCTGGTGAATATATAATTTGTTACAAGGCTTATAAAAACTAAGGATTATTGTGGAACTTCATTTGTCTGTGTGTGGTTCTTGCAGGTTTGCCCGTGTTGGTTCGGTTGTTTTAGCTCTTCATGATGCTAGTGATGTATTTTTGGAAATAGGGAAAATGTCCAAATACAGTGGCGCTGAAACTGTCACTAGTATTTCGTTTCTTCTCTTTGCTTTGTCTTGGATTGTACTTCGTCTCATTATATTTCCAGGTTGGATCCTTTGGAGTACAAGGTGAGCATATACTGGTGGATGAATTTGATTGGTTATCATACTCTTTAAAACTTTTTTGGCTTTAATATCAAGCATGTTTCAGGATCTATCAAAATAAAATCTCAAAATCTTGGTTTTCCATAAAAAAATTATAAAATCTAGATAGCGACATGCTGATATGTCATGACAAAGAATGAGTTATGGAAGGAAGCATTGTGATTGTTAACTTTTTTGTTAGTTTGGGGTTGTCCAATAATGTTCTGTTGAATTTTTAATAACAACGAAACGGCCAGAAAGGGCCTTTGATTTGGCTCCTAGGGAGTGACAGTCACTGAGAGTAAGGCTGATGAAAAACAGCCAGCGGAGACCATGATATGTTAATCAAGAATTTAGTAAAGGGGCCATCACTTGGTGTATTGGTAAGATCCTTTGATACATGGTGCGAGTACACAGATTTTTGACCCAAGGCAGTCAACTTGTGGTAATAATGCAAAGGTTACATCTATATCCAATACTCTCATCCCACCCTCGATTAATGAGATACTGAAACTAGGTAATGTCAACTTTTGGGGCCATTTCTTGGTGCAATAGTAGAAGTTTGGGGAACTTAGCAGGAAAAAAATTGATTTGAGTATGAGACAATGATGCCAAAAAATAGTTTTTTTTTTTTCTAAATCCAAATGTCAGGTAGTCCAGTGTAATCCTCCCAGCATCCTCTACCAAAAAAGGGCCACACTGAATGATGAACTTTTCTCTAGCTCTAGATTAATTTACCACTGGAAGTATCCTTGGTTTCATTAAAGCCTATTTTCTGTCAAAGCCATATCGTCATTTCCACAATGTTGGTACAACAGGGATCTAGTTTTTGGTTAATGGTTATTTTTATAATATGGTTAATTGCAAAAGAACCTCCTCAAGTCTCAACAATGAAAAATTGCATTTAACCCCCCTGTAGTAATTTTTAGTAGATTACTACATTGCAAGACACCCCCTTCATCAAGTTACTGCTTATAAATAAATGGTCAAAGCATTGAAACTCATTGAAGATCACAATTTACCCTTTTGATTGTTGCATAACCCTTATGAACTACAAAAAATTGCATGTTTTGGAGGGTAACATGCAACTTCCTTATAGTTTAGGGGTTTTGTGCAATTAAATTTAAGGGCAATGTTAAATTTAAAGATGCATTTAACAGTCACCTAATGACAGTTAGGCTGTTGGCCTTATTTGTAAACTTTCAATCGTTCAAAGGTTAACTTTATTCCAGGGGGTTTTATGCAATTAACCTTTATATAATATATATGCATACATGTTTTTGATGTAAGGTTAATTTTTTTTTTTTATTAATTTATTGTTATATATTAAAGAATATAATTACTTTTGTTCTCTTGAGTTCTTGTGACTTGGTCAACTGCCTAGTCATCTATGAACACTTAATATGTTAAAGTTGGGGTACTCATTGACAGACTGCAAAATTTCTATGTTTCCTGCATATACTCAGCCAAGTAACTGAGTTTGAAACACTTAATTTCATTAGGCATGTGATATTAATTGTAGATCAATAAAGTCACCATTTCATGCGAGTGTTCAACTTTTCTATCAGTAGTTTATTAGGTTATTCACTAATATCAAATTATTCTTGAAACAGAAGTTTATTATTTAAAAAAAAATAAAAAAATTCTTGAAGTAGAAGTCTAACTTCTTGATTGTAGTTTTTTTCTATAACTATTATAATCCTAATTATTTGAAACGTCAGACGGTTATATAATCATGGATCTGTGATAGCATTGTCACAGATAGAATTTGAGGGTTTGTCATATACATCTTCCTGTATTTCATGCAGCCATCTCATGAGTAAAGTAAACTTCTATTTGAGTTGTGTATCCTGCTTCAAAACTAGTATCCTTTTCTGTTCATATTACCCTGTATGTTAAGCTTGCAACTAGCAAAGCCAACAAAACTTAAGGTCATCTTTGACTTGCTATTTGTCCTTCCACTATTTGTTTAGTCTTTTCATTTTTCCAATTGTATTACTTCCTGTTTGTGAAAGCCTATGAAAGAGCTTTTATCACTACAGAAAGAGCCGTCTCATTCAAAAGGTGAAGAGTTTTTACAAAGATGTTAAGAAATTTTATATCTGGTCTTTAGTTTGTACAAAGTACTGAAGAAGCATTGGCCATCAAAGATTCTTATTAATAATAGATAGTAGATGTACATTTTGGTTCAGCAGGATTTCTTATATATGCTGAAGTACTCACTCCTCTCTGTGGTCTCTTTCGGTGTTCTATTTTATGTTATTCTTTGATACAATAGATTAAGGAGTTAAGTTTATTTTGGAGCAAAATACCATTATAAATATTATTACTATTTAGTTTCTAAATCTTTTCCCCCTTATGGCAGTTATGAAGTTCTCCTAACCTTGGACAAGGAGAAGCACAAGGTGGATGGACCAATCTGCTATTATATGTTCAATTTTCTTCTTTCTTGCCTGTTCGTTCTTCACATTTATTGGTGGGTGTTGATATATCGGATGCTTGTCAAACAAATCCAAGCAAGGGGCCAAGTTAGTGAAGATGTTCGATCTGGTAAGTGAATAACAACTTATATGTTTTTGTGTTGTGAACTAAATCACATACATGGTTGTAGGGTGCAACTAGGAAATAGAAAATCATATGTTGACAATAATATTTATGTGGGAAGGTTTGAAGGGCATAATTTACAGTTGATGTAAACTGGCCCCATATGTTTGGTATTTCAGTATGCATGAGATTGTATAGGCAGAAAAACTTGCTTCAAAGGTGCCCACCTGATGGCATTACAGTGAATCATTGACAAATCACAAGTCTTGACCAAAGAAGATCTGTTTAACCCTAAAATTCTCTATGTTGGTAGAGAGAAAACTCAATTGTTACTAATGACAAGGCTGTCAAAAAAGTCTGAGTTGTAAAACAATTTATTGCCAAAAAAACAAAAAACAAAAATAAATATTTTGCTAGTAGCAAACAACCTCAAAAAAGTATGAAAGATAACAAGCTAGCCCCTAAACACTAAATTAGACTAATAAAAGCAAATTAAGTCTAGCTTGACCCTAAACAAATATCACATGAAATTAGAAAATTGCCAGAAACAACTAAAATCCACTCTAAGTTTACTGAAACAGCTTAATTTCGGGTCTGAAATGGGCTCCAATCTTGAAGACAATTGGCTGCGCTATAGAACTTGTCCCAAGCTTTCCGCGCATACGTGATGTGTCCAGTAACTCCTCCCCGTTGAGACTTGAGATCCTCCACGTGACAATTACAATGAACTAATGACTTTAATCCTTATTGTTGGAGTTCAATAGGCTGGTGATTGGGATGGCAAAGGGCTGGAGTGGGCAGTTGATGCCTGCTTTAGTAGCAATAGAGCAACAATCTAATAGTATGTCAGGCGGAGAATTCCAATCTTTTTTCTTTTTCTTGTCTGCCCTTTCCCCAGTCTATTAATGTGATGAATCGATATCCAGTCCAAAAATGAAAAGGCCTTTTGGATGCTCCAATCCATTGTGTTATTCATATCCTTTATGATACATCATACACCCAGCTGTTGCTGTGAGTTGTATCTCCACCTCAGCCAAAGGACGAGTTGCAGGTTTGAAGCCCCAGTTGGGACATGCATTCATATATACTCTTTAATATATATATATATATATATATATGTATGTATATTAAGTTCATCGTGATTTTTTAGTGCTTGAGGTATTAAGTTTATTTGGTTTTTCTAACATTTTAATTGAATAAGAGCATATAAGGTTTCATGAAATGAATTCATTTGCAGTCATTGTTAATTAATTGTAGTGAATCTTTTGGCTTCTCTTATGCCTTTATTCTAGAGGATGAAGTTTCAGCTTATGAAAATAATATGAAATGAGTTCATTTTCACTATACATCAAGTATGCTGATTCTGATCCAAACAATTTGCGGAGTCAGTTTGCCAAATATATCTAAGAAGCGGATAATCTTATTCACTGGCCAATATTCTTACCTGGAAAGATTCTAATTGGAGCATTCTAAGGATATTAACTTTCTAGAAATTTTGTTGCTGTTTTTATTAAGTTTTAATGTCAGTTATTTTATTTATTTATTTTCTTCCTTTTTTTCATTTCTTTTCTTTTATTCTTAGAGTGAGCGGCCATGTTGGATTTTGTTTAGCTTACTTATATATTATCTGTCAAGTTTGGTGGATCTAGTGGGTTTTAAAAAATGTTAAGACAGTTAAAACTTCAAATTAAGTTCAGAAAGTTTATAGGCCAAAATTTAGGGTGCTGAATCTGATTATGCAAATCTTAAACAAGTTTGTATTGAGCCTATTGACTGAATTTTGAGTGCTTAACTTATGAGAACTGTTCGACATGTATAAAAGCTGTAGTCTTAAAACTGTTTATATTATAGTCTACCCCTCATAATTCTGTAACATGTCAAGTTCATAAAAGGGGGTTTCAAATTTGATTTATCATGATCATGGTTGATATTAGATCGAAGTGAGACTTTATAGGCTACAAATATTGTTTGTACGCCACATATGCCACTCCACGTGTATTATATATTCTCATAACGACCATTGTCAATTTAAAAATTGCAATTACTGATTATAGTTTAGGTGAAATATTGATTAAACTTGATATTTGGTAGTGTTTGACCTCATCATCATCCCCATTCCCCTTGCTGATGACCCTCCATTCCATATCGGTTGAGTTACTGGTGGCTGTAACTCTCAGAGCATAGCTTACTGTTTCATACTTCAGATGTACACCTTGTTGCAGTATATCTTTGTTCATCACCAAAATTATTAGTGAACTCGTATAGGATTTTTCAGTAAAGGTTGGTAAACTTGAGTTAGGTTTTAAATTGTTCACAGGTACCATTTTATTTTGAATAATATGCAGAATTAATATTAATATATGAAAACATTGCTGATTTTCATCAACATTTTTTAGGGTTAGTCTATGCGAAATACAAGTTTAAGCCCCATACCCTACCCTAGCT